TATGTAACTTAACTCCCTTTCTTGAGGTGCCTGCACTGTGCTTAGGTTACTTCATGCTTCTGATAGTGCCACAGTTGCAGTCTGCATTGTGTTGACCTGTGGTGGTCTGATACCACATACAGGTCGCATTGCTTGCTGGCTGAGGACTTATGAACACATAGAATAGCAGCAAAACTGAAGTGAACTTAACATTTTATGTGGGCTCCACTCTTTGATGCACCAGACCTTTTCCATTGGCCCATTGTGCCATGTTGGCTTGTTATGACTGGTGTACCTGTGTGGAAGCACCAGCTGCTACTGTCATGGACTACAGCCATCATTACATCGGAGCCCAATACCACTAATCCATCTTCAACTGCCATCGTGTCATCAAAGCAGCTAAGCCAATGGCATCCATAGTAAGGTCAAAGTCCAGACCACCTGTGACATGAGACCAGGCTAGGGAGCGGAGTGCAATTATGGACAAGTAACACAATTAAGCAGCTTTTATTAAAACATATGAGATTATACACTTCTAAAGGATACTTTGTTGGCACAAACTGGTTGTGCATTTTGGGGACCATGTGACTGACAATGCTCCTTGAATCAGTAGTAATCATTATGTTCATTTTCTCCACATACACTGTATTGCTTGCACATTCTTTTGCTTCATTTTTACCACACCCTTTTCCTAATTACATGAATATTAGAAAACCTCATGTCCTTGGACATATGCAAATGTCATTTGCTTCATTTCATTGTCAAAGCTACCTTAAATCAAGCTAAGAGTACATTTTGTTCAACAACATTCTTGAGGATAAAGCTGCCAGAACTGTATCCGCTTTGTGAACACACTTTCTGCTGTTAAATGTACAGGAGATTCAAGATCAAAATCAACAGCTCCTAGTCTATGCATAATTGCACACACACGTTTCTAAAGTCTACATATTTTAAATATCTAAAGTCCATGCAACTCTTTTGAAACACCCCGTAAGCACAAAACAGTATAGATAAGTGCATCTTTTAATTGTTCCTTTGTGTACAAAAGTCATTACAAGATGATGCTAATTGCAAAAAAACTACAGTATAAATATGAAACATATCTGACTGCTAATGGTAAGCAGCAACTGTCCCTAGGCAACCACAACTGAAGACACAGAAATAGCCTGCTGCCCCTCCAGAAGTTGTTGGACTCCCTATCCCATAAACCCCAGCCAGCCTTGGTCAGAGATGATGGCAATTATAGTCCAACACATTTAGAGGGCACAAAGTTGTGGAAGGCTGGCCTAATGTTCCAACCCTACCTGAACTGCCCAAATACCAGGTTTATCTATATATATAGGCACTCCACAAGCCAGTTATTCATTTCTTCACTTCCATTTGTGAAAGCACTGTGAGCTCAGAAAGCCAACATTTCAAATAAACTTGGAAGTCCAACATTACTTGGGGATATGGGGGTCCTCTCCTGCACAACCGGAAGCAACACTAACAGCTTCGGCTGGTCGTGGGGGCATCTGGTATATCCCACCAAAAATTAAATTTCAAATCTGCCAATTGCAGTCAGTCTGGTGGGTGTGGTTTTGGAGACGGACCTGAGGGTGCCCTGGTATATGGGCTCATGGGGGGGGGGAGAATTGTTTGAAGGCCCAGAAGGGGGCTAACAGGCCATAAAATTTCCCCAGTGGTGGCCAGGTGGGTCTACCCTATTTGATCTGTGTCATGGGGGCGGGGGGCTTTAACACAGGATCAACCCTAATGAGGCAATCAGTCAGACCGATTCAGGATACATACCGTATTTTTCGCACCATAGGACGCACCGGACAATAGGACGCACCTTGTTTTAGAGGGGGGAGAACAAGAAAAAAAAAATCTCCCCCTCTCTGCCCAGCGCCCCTTCAGCGAAGCGGCAGGAGGCGCTGCGCAGAGAGAGGGAGAATTTTCCCCCTCTTGTTCAGGCGGCTACCTTGGAAGCCTGGAGAGCAAGAGGGGTCGGTGCACACCGACCCCTCTTGCTCTCCAGGCTTCAGGTTCCTTTCGACCTGCTCTTTGGGGCTGGCAGGGGGAAGCCCACCACCAGCCCCAAAGAGCAGGTCAGGGAGCAGCGGAAAGGCGCAGCGGAGAGGCTGCTGCCATAGTCGCACGTCACTTCTCTAGCTGGGAGAGAGTCGCGGGGCTATGGCTTCTTTAGCCCCGCACACGCTCTCCCAGCTGAAGAGGTGGCGCGCGGCTAAAGAGGCTCCTGCCATAGCAGCGCATCACCTCTCCAGCCGGGAGAGGGTCGCGGGGGGCTGCTTTAGCCCCGTGCACGCTCTCCCGGCTGGAGAGGTGACACGCGGCTATAGAGGCTCCTGCCATAGCCGTGCGTCACCTCTCCAGCCGGGAGAGGGTCGCGGGGGGCTTCTTTAGGCCCGCGCGTGCTCTCCAGGCTGGAGAAGTGACGCACGGCTATAGAGGCTCCTGCCATAGCCACGTGTCACCTCTCCAGCCGGGAGAGGGTTGCGGGGTGCTTCTTTAGCCCCGTGCGCGCTCTCCCGGTTGGAGAGGTGATGCGCGGCTATAGAGGCTCCTGCCATAGCCACGTGTCACCTCTCCAGCCGGGAGAGGGTCGCGGGGCTATGGCATCTTCGCTCCATAGGACGCACACACATTTCCCCTTCATTTTTGAAGGGGGAAAAGTGCATCCTATAGAGAGAAAAATATGGTACCCAATGCCTAACCAAAAGCCTACTAGAATCTGTAATCAATAAACTTTAGGCCATTTTTAATCCCAAGATGTTGTCATGTCCTTTTTGGTACTCTCACACCACCAGTCCCCACCGAACCTAGGCTCACTATGCCTGGGCTTGCAAAGAACCAAGTAGCATTGCAATTACAGACTCCTTGTGCAAACAGGAAACAAATACTGGGTAAAAATTTTGTGTCTAATTATGAGGCAATATAAAAACAAGAAGGTTTAAGTAGGATAGAATGATGGTTTTCTTTAGGCAGCAAACTAGTTACAATATTTTTAGTGTAATTTCTCATGAATGAACTGAACAAAAAAGAAAATTCTTGGCTTTCTGTATCCTGATTTAGGTCCCGACAGATCTGTTGACTTATGGTCCTGAGATACTCAGTCATGGACTCTCCAACTGATGTGTTACATGTCCTGCCTTAAACTTCCACACAAAATCTCTTGAAATCAGCCCCACATGTTCATTTTCTTGAGAGGGAATTGATCTGGCTATTTAACATTATGCTATGTAGCTGATGATATGGCAATAATACTTATCACCACATAAATGTTTAGTACAGACTTAGCAAAACAAATTGCTTGGCAATCGTGGTCACTTGAAGTCTCAATTTCAAGAGTGGCCAAAACTTGTACACCAAGTCTCTTTCTGACTCGCATAATAATTACCCAAAACTCCAACCAACTTGGCCTACTACAGAGAGCACCTCCAGGAAGTTGGACAAAAATTAAAACCATCACCCAAGCGTAATCTAATAAGGTATCATCTGAAATACTCTGTCCAGTTATGGTCATCTGCAGGGGTGTAGGGGGGACTGAGGGGGGCCACTGCCCCAGGCACAGTTTTTTGGGGAGCGCACCATGGTGCCCTGCCCCATCATGAGCTGTTGTGTCCTTCTCAATGCCGCCCAGCGCTGCTTTGGCCCATGGTCCTGCCCGCCCCCATAGTGTGCCATGTCGCCCACCCTGGGCTCTGGCAGGGAATGCTCTGCCACTGTTCATCTGTGTTTGAGAAAGCTGAAGTTAAACTTTTTTTTAAAAAAAGTCACAGGCTGAAATAACCTATCTTATCAGCAGGCTGAAATGATTTGGCTGTTTGTTTTATGGTGGGAAAACATTGCCAGATATATGACTAAATCATGACATTCTGCAAAAAACTAATTTGGGTGAGGTGAATTCAGGTTAAGGAAAGCTATCGGTACAAGGACTAATCAACAACTAAATGGAGGCTAAATAGTTGGAGAGATAAAATTCTAGAATAGTTATAAGAATGAAAGAATAAGAATAAAAGAAACTTACAGAGTAAAAAAAATACTGGCAGTGTTCTAGGAGAGAATACACACCCCAACGATTCCTCAACCTTCTAGTATAAGGAATCCCAAATTCAAAAACGATTTTTTAAATATGAGAATGACTGACTATGTACACACTATCACAAACTTTTACCATGTAAAAGAAACAAGTATAATATGAGATAAACAGAACTTTTTTGGAAGGTGAGGGGAGAGAATGAGAAGAAATGAGAAGAACTACTGTAATTTACAGGAGCTTTCTAAGAATGCCTTTTGTAAAAGGAGGCCCTACAAAATGGAATGAAAACTTTCCTACCAAGTTCACACATATCTCATAGTGTGGTCGTCTGACAGCTACACTGTCGTAATTTTAGACAGTTGAACCTCTGCTCTAGGGTTTACACAAGATCAAGTACTTGTCACTCTCAGAGCAGGTATAGTGAGACAGAGTGGGCAAACAGTCCATTTTTCTTTATAATTACACTCCATTAACCTTCTACATGAGAGCTCCCCTGTGCTTTCATACCAACAACACCAACTGTCCACATCTGATAAGTCTTTACAGAGTCTACAAGACCAGTAAGTGTAACAACAAAAACCAAAGCACTTTAATACTTTAATATTTCAGACTTAAGCACAAGCCAAACAAAGTTCTTTTACTTAACAATAAATATATTGATAAATTATTTATTATTATTTATTGTTGCTGCTGCTGCTATCATCATCATCATCATTATTAGGCAAGCCCAGCATGAATGTTAGAGTCCCCCAGAACCATTGTCCTGGAGTTCTCCAAGTCCACACAACAGACCACTCTCACTCTCAAGTCAGAGAGCTTACTGGGCAGAAGGAAACCAACAGCATCCCTGTTCTCTCTGTAATGCTCAACACCAGGTTCAGAGCCTCAAACCCAGCTGCTAGGCAGACTGGTCTCCTAATTCAGGTACATAGCCGTGTTGGTCTGACGCAGACGAAATAAATAAATAATATAACATTGTCCAGGAGCACCTTAGAGACCAACTAAGTTTGTTTTGGGTATAAGCTTTTGTGTGCATGCACACTTCTTCAGATAACTTCTGAAGACACCATTTATCTGAAGAAGTGGGCATGCACATGAAAGCTTATACCCAGAACAAACTTAGCTGGTCTCTAAGGTGCTACTGGACAATTTTTTAATTTTATTTATTTATTTGGTCTCCTAATGAGAAACATGGAATTTTTATGGAAAACTGAAACATCCCCCCACCTCATCTGAATTGGTGCTGCACTGAATTCCTAAGCGAGCAGAGCTAAGCTGGGTCTAGTCCACCCAGATCTTGGTAACGGCCAATGACTAGCAATCCCTGCCTTTCCATAAAGCTCAAGCAAATGAAAACAACCACCAAAAATGCAGGTTTTAACAACTGAGAAATCATTCATCATATCAAAATGCACGTTGAGGTGCTCTCCCTTCATTGTGGAATCTTCCCAACTGAAGAGTGTTCAGCAAATCAAGCATGACATTACAGAATAACTGTCCAATGAGAATATAAAATAAAACTTTTTTAAAAAATGTAATTTCCCTTCCCTTTCCAGTAAAAATGTCTAAATAAAAACTGGTTAGCAAACATTAGATCTATCTGTTTTTCAACACTGAGCACATAAATGATAGCCTACTCTTAAAGCTGGGTCTATTAATAATATAGCCTCCTTAGGGTTCTACCTCTGTGTCAAGAATACTATTTTTCCTTATGCTTGTTTATAATGATGAGGTGCTGCTGGGCTCCCCTTACACAAAAATGAAAAACAAAACAAAACACGAGAAACACAGAACTGAAGCAATCCATAATACGATCAGAGTTTTTTTAAGCGTTGCACACACTGGATAAATATAGCCAACCAATTTACCACAGGGAAAATGTGGACAAATTCTCCACTTCTTAAATGTGTGAACTGCAACAATACAAATGACCATAACTGGTTTTGTAATGTTCTGTGGTTGCTGTGCTCAACCACTAGTGATTGACTCATTCTTGGGTTGAGTACACACCATACATTTAAAGTACATGACTTCCACTCAAGAATTCTGGGAACCATAGTTTACCCCTCACAGAACTCCAATTCCCATAACCCTTAGAGCTTCCAAATTTCTGGGGGGAGGTTGTGTGCTTGCAGTAAGTGAAGATATTGGTTCTACCTATTCATTCATCTATTACTACAGGGTTATTGTTTTTATATCACTAGCCTCCCCCCCCCCTTACTGGAGCAGAGTTTATTCTGTTCCACCAGATTTTAAAAAGTGAGCTCAGAGCTAATTGTCTTTGTGCTAGTTTATCAGCCAATTAATGCATGTATTTATTTATATTACACTTTCCACAGATTTGTGTTCACACTAGTTAATGTTTTCTAAAAGATCACTGCCCTGTTTTGTGTTTAAACTGGTTATCCAGTGTCTACAACCCAAACAGAATACCCAGGACCCCAAACGTTCACTTTAATGAATTAAAATAACAATTGTGTATACACGAACACATACCTCTTCATCACAAAACAGTAACAACCATGACTTCAGAGATATCAGAGTATAATTTATTGTAAAGGAAATGAACTACTACAAAAACATGAGGGGGGTTAGAACCCCAAATGCCTAACAAAAATATCAAGTATTTAAGAATTTCATAAAACACAGAGCCAACCACTGGAATTGTGAATTTTGAAAACCATTAGGGAAAAGCAGAGGAAATAAACAGTACCTTCAAAGGAAGCTCTGGCAACGAAACTTTAAAGTGCAGAAGAACACCTTCCTCACTAACATCATTAGGTACAGATATTTATCCATCAACATGGAAAATGTTTCCAAAGAATGAAATTTGGAGAATGTACTACTAAGCAAACATGTGTGTCTTTGAAGGCATGGATGGACTGGAGGGAAAATAAGAAGGTTTCACAGTGACTTGCCTAAGACAAGGTTAGAGATCCTATATTTGCATAGGAATTTGAATTAATACTTCTGTCTACCCACAAGGGTGTCTAAAGGACCACCCTGAGTTAATAAAGAATGGACAGAAATGCTAGGGAAAACAGCAAGTTTAATATTAAAGCACCTCATGGCACCTCATGAAAATAAATTTAGAAGTTGCCATGGGTGTGATTTCTGTTCTGAGCCCATGTCCCATGCATAAGTGACATTGGTTAAAAAAAGCATCATACATGAAGTGTCCCTAGATTATTATTCTCTCCTCCACTCACAACCGCCAAATAAACACACCATTAAAATGTCCCTATCCTCACAGACGGTGCTGACTGAGCTTGCTTTTTTGTTGATGAGCAAGTTGTTTAGAAAGACATATTCTTAGCCTATATTAGAAATTCATTTTGAGGCACAAAGGCAGCTGAGTCAGTCAGCATTTAGTGGTGCATTTCAGAGGTTCTTTGTCATGGAGACCAGGCATTAATATTCCCTGAAATACTGCTGAATGCACAGTCATATACAGAGGATGGAAAGTTGTATAAAATCTTGTAAACACATCTGTCAGATGGATAGTCTCCTGAATGATTACATTTTTTAAAATTACATCTCGTTCTTAAAGAGAAGTAGTGAACAGGCTTTTTTATGTAAAAGAATACACTAGGCACTGCACTGGATATTTTTTACCCAAAGCCACTCAACTTGCAGCAGCAGCACTTGCTCCCACATTTTATTTGCAGAGCAGCTTTCTTAGAACACCTTAAGCTGATAATAAAACAAACCCTCTGTGCAAGGCAAATAGGCCAGTCCACAAGTTACATTCACACACCAAAAAGGAATTGCTATTGATACTACAAATTTGCTTTCTGCACTGTTTACACTTTTGGGGGAGGGGGGGCCTGCCTGGTGCTTTAAATATTACATTCCATGACAGAGAAGAACCAATAAAAATCATTCAAGTTTGGATTGTCTAGGGCTGCCATTCATACAGGGAAAACATTGCTTTGATGCCCTGTTTGTATTCCATTTCTAATAACAAGGATGAAGGTCTCTGGTTTCTATGGTAACTCAGATGGGCCACAATAAAAGAGCCTTACAAATGTTCAAATGCTGAAATGCAAAATCAAATTAAGCAAGAGTTCACACTACTTTGTTGAAGCTAGAACACTAAAATTAAAAGCAGTACTATGAGTATTGCTTTTGGACCATGATATCCAAATGATGACTATCCCGTATTTCTTAAAAAGCTAACAAACATGAATAGATGTTTCCTTTAAACTTGGAAAAACTTAGAAAAAAATATTTCTTACTTATCGTTTAATCCTATTCTCAAATTACTCCTGCTAGATGTGGATAGGATGGCTACATAATCCCGTTATTATTCATTCATTCATTTTATATACTATATATGCTGACACAGTGCTAACATTACATTTATGTTATACTACTACTGTATACAGTTTAACTTTGCCTGCACATGACAGAGGGCTACATCATTCGGTCCTCATGTCTAAAGAACTTGAGTAGTCAAGAAAAATTAGCCAGAGGAGAACTCTGCCAGCACTAACATCACCCACTTGTCTTCTCAGAACTCCTTTCCAACCTGCAAACGCAAACCTCAGCACACCCAAACAGAAACCCCAACTCCACTGCTATAACTGGGCTTCAAGGACAAGGAATGCCCAGACAACTAAGAACGTGTATGGATGGGTCAACAGAGAACACTCAAATGCCCAAAACTGGAGACTGTGTCTTTCCTGCTTCCTACCTGTGAGAGGGAAAGTGGGTGGGCAATAATCCTCCCTTACGCAATGGGTAGGAATAGCGTCCCATTCACAATGCATACCTGCAACTTCTGTAAGAGGGTCCTGATGGCCATGAACCACAACATACAGTAAGTTCCAACTATGTAACAGTGCAGGCAATGGGGAAGCACAAGATATATTTTATTGGTGAATGCCAGCCATTCCAGGTAATCTATACCAGGGCACATGGAAAGCGGGGGAGGAAGAAACCAGACAGAATTCCAGTGCAACTCCCTACATTAGATAGGAGAGTATTGTCACAATAGGGGAAGCTTTGAACACAGACACAAGAGAAACCGGTGAGGAGCTAGGCTGAGACACAGAGAATGAAAAATTACCAAATTGCAGTATCTTCTCTCAAGAATGCACCCACCAACACCTAATGAATGCCTGTGACAAAGCATTGTGACTAAAGTTCTTTTCAGTTGTGTTTCAGATTAATTAATTTGCTTTGGTTATTACTGTTTTATACTGCATTTTAATGTTTGTTTTCATTTGTGAGCTTGCCCAAATAACTCCTGCTATGGAGTGCTATATAAAAATGTAAGAAAAGAAATGAACAAACATGAGTGGCAGCAGCTCACGACTCATTACCATCACCATGTTCTTCTGGCCTCCGTTCAATGGGCAATGAGACAAGGATCTTCCCCACTCCCAGTTTAATGCAGCTCATAAATGAGCCCTACAGCAAGTATCCAACGTGTAAGCCAGGTGCCCACTCTGGAGTTGCCGTATTTTTGGAAGACAAGGTTATTAATGGCTACGAGTTACAGTGGTTATAAGCTACACTCCCAAATTAGACGCAACATTTCTCCAACCACCAGTTCCTGGGAAACAACAGTAGGAGAGCAATGTTTGCTGTCATATCCTTATTAAGGGCTTCCTGGAAGCATCTGGTATGTCTCTGAAGGAAACAGAATGCTGGACTAGATAAGGTCTTTGGGTCTGATCTAGAAGGGATTCTTCTGTCCTGTGGTTAGAGTGGTTGATGCCCATTGGAGTGAGAAGTATGGGGTCTATTACTGTTGCTTCTCCATTTTTATGTTTTGCTTTGTGGATGTTACATTTGCATGTCCCAGGGCAGCATTCAATCTGCTGTCTCTCAGGCAGATCATGGGATGGCTTCCTGTTGCCGTTATAGCTTCTGTTCTTCCTTGTCCAAGTAACTCCTTCCTGTCTCTATTTCAAAAAGCTTGTTTCCTTCAAAAATATACCACTGCTTGTTTGTTGAATTCATAGTCCTTTGGTGGAGCTTAAATCATTATTCCAGAATATATCTCACCTATATATTATGTTCTATGTTAGTTTATTCAATGTATGCACTGCTTAACACAGCCAAAGGAAATCCCATAGTGATTTACACGCAAAGACATGAAATAAAACAGAAAATCCTTTAAATAATACACACGCAC